TTGATGTGATATGATAGTGATATGATATTGTATTATATTGATATGATATAATATTGATGATATATTGATATGATATAATATTATATCATTATTATATTATTATATTTTATTATATTTTATTATATCTTATATTTGTACTGTATCATATTGTATTTATATTATATCATATAATGTAATATAAATATTATATGGTATTGCATGATATATTGATACGATATTATGTGACATGCTATTATATTATTGTATTATTGTTATATTATTATGTTATTATTATATCATATTATATCATATAATGTAATATAAATATTATATTATATTATATGGTATTGTATGATACTGATATGATATTGATTGGATATTATATGATATGATACTAAAGACTACAGAGAGGACACTTACAGAAGGCTTAACAAGGTAATAATGTAAAACTCATGATTCTCCAGAGTCCAACACAGCTGGACTGTGATTGGTCATTAAGTTAAAACAACTCAGCAGAATCCAGTGAAATCACCTGTGGGTAAACAATCTCCAAACACATTCCAAAGCAGCAAACACAGGAGAAGCAATCAGATAATATTGTTTTCATTTCTCTCTGAGGCTTCTCAGCTTCCCAGGAGATAAATCCTGGTGAAGGGATTTTTCAGGCAATGTGGCAGTGACCTTGCCTGGCTCAGGAGTGTTTCGCTGATTCCCCTGGGTTTCTGGTTGTCCTGGTTGCTTTGGGCTGCCCTCGCAGACAGCGCAGGCTTTGCCCTCTGAGGAGTGTGAAGCTCTCCTGGAGGCCGTGTCTGCGCGAGGAGCAGGGGGTTGGTGTTCCCCGGGCTGCTCAGGCTGCTGCAGCGTGTGCTGTGCCCCGTGCAGATGGATCTGTGCATCGAGGCCTTTGGCACCAGCAAGCAGAAGCGAGCCCTGAGCTCGCGCCGCATGAACGCCGTGGGCAGCGACATCGTGAGCACGGCTGTCACCAAGGCGGCTGCCAACGTCATCGATGCCAAGGGCGTGACAGGTGAGGGGGCTGTGCCTCGGGCTGTGAGCACGACAGCCTGAAGTGCCTTTTGCTGTCTGTCCGTGCCAAGTGTGGCTGGAAGAAGAGGGCTTTTCTGTAAGTGATGAGGAAGTAGCTGGTCAGCAGCTGGGATGGGTACATGGAGAGGAACTGCTGCTTTCTGGTCCTGCTGGGCTTGGTGTTGGAGTTAGCTGAGGGAGGGAAGGTCCCTGTGACATCGGTGTCCCTCCTGCCTGCTTTGGAAGCTCCTGTGTGTGTGGCTTCACTGGCATAAAGGCGGTGCCTTTAGCTGGTCTGAGCTCTGTGGCATGGCTGTTGAAAAGGCACCTTCTTACCCAAAACAGTGGTGCAGCCTTGGGAGCACAGCACAGCGTGGTGTCACCGTCCCTGGGGGCTTCCAGGCTGTGGCAGGAGGGGGCACCTGGGCAACAGGGCACACAAGACCCCTCCAGAGCAGTTCTGGGATCCTGGGAGTGTCACTGGCAGGAACAGGAGAGATGTCTGTTGGCTGTAGACCCCACCACCTTTCATCCCTTTTGTTCCAGGGTGGATATTGACTGTGCTCTCAGAGCTGCTCTGTGCCAAGTGGGTGTGCACAGAACACAGGTGCTCTGCCTGCATCTTGGTGCCATCCTTGCCTAGATGTTTCTCTAGTCTGGAGTGGCCTTTCTAAATTTTNGACTCCAGCAAAGGGGAAAGAGGATGATGCATCTGACTCCACCATCAGAAGGCCAAAGGATTGCTTTATTACACTGTACCACGTACATTGCATCTAAACTGAATCTGCCATGCACTCACTCCTGCTTACAACTGCACGGAACTGCCCTCACCTCTGATTCTCCCCTGACTGTCCCGTGACAGTCTGTCACAGACACCTTCTATGGAAAATCCTCTCCTCAGGATTTTTGCTGCTGAGAAGCTCAGAGGCTGCAGGAACAAAATGCAAACAATGGTTATCTGCTGCTGTGGAAAGCAACGGGTGCAGCTGTGATTGGTCTCATGTGGTTGTTTCTAATTAATGGCCAATCACAGTCAGCTGGCTCGGACTCTGTCCAAGCCACAAGCCTTTGTTATCACTCCTTCTTTTTCTATTAGCTAACCTTCTGATGAAATCCTTTCTTCTATTCTTTTAGTACAGTTTTTATGTAATAAATATAATAAAATAATAAATCAAGCCTTCTGAAATATGGAGTCAGATCCTCTGGAGTCAGTGTCTTCCCTCTTCCTGGGACCCCTGTGAGCACTGTCACAACAGTCCAACACACACACAAACACACACACATCTTTGCCCTGACAGGCAAGGAACCCAAACATCCCCACCTTGGCTGAACCATCTCCATGTTGCATTCTACTTTAGCACAACACGGGCACAGCAAGCGAGATAAGAATTGTGTTTTCCTGCTTCTCTGCTTTGTCTCACAGCTCCTCTCTGTCCAGAGGGCGTCTGAACACCCCAGAGCGGGGCAGCGGCCATGCTGTGAGCAGAGGGAGCGTGCTGGGACTGCCCAGCTGCACAAGGGAAGGCTGCAGGGTAGCTCACCGTGGCCCCCCAGCTCTGGAGGGGTTGCAGCGAGGGTGGGACAAGACATTTAAGAGAGTCTGCAGGGAAGGAGAAAGGGACGGGGTTCAAATTGAAACCCAGCAGTCAAGGATTGTTCCCTGGCAGGGTGGGCAGGCCCTGGCACAGGGTGCCCAGCAGGATCCCTGGCAGTGCCCAAGGCCAGGCTGGACACTGGGGCTGGCAGCACCTGGGGCACTGGGAGGTGTCCCTGCCATGGCAGAAGCTGGAACAAGACAAGGTGCCCTCCCAGCCCAAACTGCTGTATGATCCTGTGGCTGAGTCCTGGTCAGGCTGCAGTGAACCTGGCAACCAGCNCGCGCCGCATGAACGCCGTGGGCAGCGACATCGTGAGCACGGCTGTCACCAAGGCGGCTGCCAACGTCATCGATGCCAAGGGCGTGACAGGTGAGGGGGCTGTGCCTCGGGCTGTGAGCACGACAGCCTGAAGTGCCTTTTGCTGTCTGTCCGTGCCAAGTGTGGCTGGAAGAAGAGGGCTTTTCTGTAAGTGATGAGGAAGTAGCTGGTCAGCAGCTGGGATGGGTACATGGAGAGGAACTGCTGCTTTCTGGTCCTGCTGGGCTTGGTGTTGGAGTTAGCTGAGGGAGGGAAGGTCCCTGTGACATCGGTGTCCCTCCTGCCTGCTTTGGAAGCTCCTGTGTGTGTGGCTTCACTGGCATAAAGGCGGTGCCTTTAGCTGGTCTGAGCTCTGTGGCATGGCTGTTGAAAAGGCACCTTCTTACCCAAAACAGTGGTGCAGCCTTGGGAGCACAGCACAGCGTGGTGTCACCGTCCCTGGGGGCTTCCAGGCTGTGGCAGGAGGGGGCACCTGGGCAACAGGGCACACAAGACCCCTCCAGAGCAGTTCTGGGATCCTGGGAGTGTCACTGGCAGGAACAGGAGAGATGTCTGTTGGCTGTAGACCCCACCACCTTTCATCCCTTTTGTTCCAGGGTGGATATTGACTGTGCTCTCAGAGCTGCTCTGTGCCAAGTGGGTGTGCACAGAACACAGGTGCTCTGCCTGCATCTTGGTGCCATCCTTGCCTAGATGTTTCTCTAGTCTGGAGTGGCCTTTCTAAATTTTTATGACCAGAAGGTGTGACTGTGTTCAAAGGGGTCTTAGCATGAGGGAAGACGCAAGGATCTGACTCCATGTTTCAGAAGGCTGATTTATTATTTTATGATATATATTACATTAGAGCTATACAAAAAGATTAGAAGAAAGGATTTTCTCAGAAAGCTAGCTAAGAATAGAAAGGAATGATAACAAAGGCTTGTGGCTCGGACAGAGAATCCAAACCAGCTGGCTGTGATTGGCCGTTAATTAGAAACAAGTAACATGGGCCAATCCCAGATGCACCTGTTGCATTCACAGCAGCAGAAAATCAGTGTTTACATTTTGTTCCTGAGGCTTCTCAGCAGGAAAAATCCTAAGGAAAGGATTTTCCATAAAAGATGTCTGTGACAAGAATGTTCTTGAGAGAAGTCGTAAATGTCTAAAACTCCAGCTATGACCGAAGTAGTGTTGACCCATTTGAGTGAACTTGCTCCTAAAGGAAGGGTTTGGGTTGTGCTGCTGCTCTCTGCATTTTGGTTATCACAACCCAAGTGCTCCTGTGCCGGTTCCCTCCCCAGGGCTGATGCAGGACGTGGCCCAGGACGATGTGCAGAACATCTCTGCCTTCCTCCCGCCGTGCCACGAGGACGCCCAGCGGCCAGAGCACGTGTACAGGTTTGAGGACAGTATCTTTTCTGTGCACTGGGGCTTCAGTCCCCACGGAGCCATCTTCTGCTGTGCTGGGGGCCAGCTGAGCCCTTGCCCCTCACAGGCCAGGAGCTGGGACTGACGTGATGCTGCCCTGGGGTTTTGGGGCTGCAGGTGCCATGTCCTGCC